GAAGAAACAAATGGCACCCTTGACGCGAAAAAAACATGAACAATATAATCGAAGAATGAGATAGCATTCTACACAAACCCCCGACATCATGATTTGTCGTCGACCCTGAGAGGTCTCGACCCATTCCCCGGGACCGGGTTTTCATCTTGAGTCGTTGTTTGACGGTCATGAAGCCCGCTAAGGGCCTCCAAAGGCCGAAAGTATGGAAAGACCTCCCGTCCTGATTTCTCCATTACCCGAGGAGGTCTGGGTACTGTACTCTACAGATTGAGACCACACGGGAGACCATGCGGGAAAACAGAAGGGAGACTCTACGCGAGATCCTTCGGGACCGCCACCCATTTTGGCACACCCCTCACACGGCTCGTGGCCCCACAGGGAACTCCACCGAAGGCCCCAGTGGCACAGGCCGCATGCGGGGACCGCCACCCATTTTGGCACACCTCTCACACGGCTCGTGGCCCCACAGGGAGCTCCACCGAAGACCCCAGTGGCACAGGCCGCATGTGGGGACCGCCACCCATTTTGGCACACCTCTCACACGGCTCATGGCCCCACAGGGAGCTCCACCGAAGGCCCCAGTGGCACAGGCCGCATGCGGGGACCGCCACCCATTTTGGCACACCCCTCACACGGTTCGTGGCCCCACAGGGAGCTCCACCGAAGGCCCAGTAAGGAGCTCCCCTTTCTTCGTCCCAGCTGACCTGCGGTACTCACACCTGCATATGGTTGTGTCCCAGGGATGTGCGTAACCCCGGGGAGGAGCAGACCACTTTTTGGCTATTTCTAGTCGTTGGCCGCCGAAGTTCCCAACGCTACCGCTGCACGAATCCCTAGCAAATTCATAACATCTTACGTTTGGAGTATAATAGAATTCCTCCTCTCCTGGGCGGTGTTTGCGATGTTTGGTAGCGCTCCAATGGGCGATGTTTGCGACGCCAACGTGTTGAACCATTGCAATCGAATTGCGTCTCAAACATATCATGTGTTTCAAGAAATTCGTTGGCATTTGAACTATGTTGAGTTGTCGCGCTCGATTTTCTGACTAAGACAGAACCTTTTGTTTCAAGAATGTCGTTACTACGTTGAGTTATTGCGACCGGTATTTTGCTAAAACATAAAATGTGGTTTCAAGAATCGCGCTGGAGAAACTATCCGATCGCCGACATAAACGCCCGAAATCCTTGTAGTTATGAAACACAATTAGAATAGATTGTTTACTATCCTGGTATCTTCACATAAGCCGATGAAATTCTGAGAGTTTCCAAAGCGCGTTGGGTAGCCAAAAAGTGGTCTGCTCCTGCCCGGGGTTGATCACATCCCCAGCTGTGTCCTTCGCGCCAGAATAATTTTTCTCGGCGTTGAAAGCTTCCGACGGCCCAGGAGGTACGATGACCCAAGGGGACCTCAAGATGGCCCACGAAGCGCCCAAGACGGCGCCAAGAGGACTCGAGAGACCTCCAAAACATGAAGCGCCCCAGTTTGGCCCAGAGAGGCCCCCAGGATGGCCTCTGAAGGCGTAAGAGGTGCCAAGAGAACACTAAGCCAGCTCCAGAGGCCCCGAAGAGGCCCCTCAGAGGCCCCCAAGAGGTCAGAGGACCCCAGGAAGACCCCAGGAAGACCCCAGGAGGCCTCAAGAGAGCCCCAGCACACCGCCAAGAGGTTCCCAAGAGAACTCATCGTCCTCCTCCTCCTCCTCCTCCTCCTCCTCCTCCTCCTCCTCCTCCTCCTCCTCCTCCCCCTCCTCCTGATCCTCCTACTCCTCCTCCTCCTCCTCCTCCTCCTCCTCCTCATCATCATCATCATCATCATCATCATCATCAGGATCATCATCATCAGCATCAGCATCAGCATCAGCATCAGCATCAGCATCATCATCATCATCATCATCATCATCATCATCATCATCATCAGCAGCAGCATCATCCTCATAATCAGCATCATCATCCTCATGATCATCAGCAGCTCGTCATCATCACCGTCACCATAATCATCAGCATAATCACCATCATCATCATCGTCGTCATCATCATCATAATCAGCATCGTCGTCATCATCATAATCGTCATCGTCACCGCCATCGTCATCATCATCATCATCATCAGCATCAGCATCACAACCACCACCACCACCATCATCATTATCATCAGCAGCAGCATCATCAGCAGCATCATCAGCATCATCAGAATCAGCATCATCATCAGCATCATCAGCAGCAGCATCATCCTCATGATCATCACCATCAGACGCCGTCTTTGCCTTCCTCGAGACAGGGCACGGCGAGCCCCAGCAAGTGCTGGACCAGCCTGGAATGGCCGTGGACATCCTGGTCCACGAGTCTGTGCGCCTCGGGCTCGCAGTGAAGCTCGGTCCAGGGACGTCCGCCCCCGTGGTCGAGCTCTTCGGCAACGGCACCAGGGAGCGGCACTGGAGCGCACTCCCGGAGAACGGGCGCGAACACTTCACCCCCCCGGGCGGCTCCACCCTGGAGACCGTTCACCATCTTTTACCAGCCTGGAACAGATCCCTATCCCTATGTTCGGCATCGCCTCATCACGATGTCGATCTTAGGGATTCCCTCAGTTTCTGAGGGTGCATCCGTAAGATTGTCATCGCCTTTTGGCGTGTCAATCTCAGGGAAAGGGATAAATTCGAGGCTGGTGAATTTTTACCCCCCTGGGCACGCTCCACCAGGACGCTGGAGGCCACCAGGCCGACGGCCGCCGCAAGGCGGCCAGGGCGCAGGAGGCCGTCGTGCCGCTAGCCGTCCCCACCTTCGGGCCCAAGGCCACTGCGGAGGCCACCAGGATCGGGCTCGCCGGCTCCAGTGTGCTCTCGCGCAGCTTGTCCGCAGTGGCGGCATGCCGAGGTCAGCTCGACAGGGGGTGAATCCCGCTGGAGGCCCAGTACCACCGAGTGCTGCGCCGCAGTCACGGCTCCATGCGCTTCGGGGCCCCTGGCACGCCGACGGACTCAGAGGGGCGGACCGCGCTGCAGGCCCCCCCGCTCGCCTCACTGGTGCGAGCCCACAGACTGGCAGGCCTTGGCTCGCAGCTGCGGGCGCCGCCGCTGGTGATACGCTGCTTTGCCGCCGTGCCTGGGCCTGCGTCGGTCACTCATCTCATGACGGACTTCAGGCGGCTGCAAGCCGCATTCCTGGCTGAAACCCAGGCCCTCGGAGACCCGTTCCATTTTCCTGGTGCCTGGCACGAGTTCACCGTGTCGGAGCCAGCGAGATGGACGCGGCTTTGTCACGCCTTCCGCGCTTACCCACGCGAGGCCCCGCAGTCCCAATCGGCCATGCGCCGGCAGCGAAGGAAGCAACCTGTCCTGTTTTTTCCAATCCGTATGCGCTTACGCACCGAGCCAGCGCACCCTGCAGGCCCCGCACTGCGATGCCTTCTTCCTTGCCCACGTGCTCCAAGTTCGCCTTCAGCCGCCTCGAATATCATCATCATCATCATCATCATCATCATCATCATCATCATCATCATCATCATCATCATCATCATCATCCTCATCCTCATCATCATCATCATCATCATCATCATCATCATCATCATCATCATCATCATCATCATCATCATCATCATCATCATCATCATCATCATCATCATCATCATCATCATCATCATCATCATCATCATCATCATCATCATCATCATCATCATCATCATCATCATCATCATCATCATCATCATCATCATCATCATCATCATCATCATCATCATCATCATCATCATCATCATCATCATCATCATCATCATCATCAGCATCATCATCATCATCATCATCATCATCATCATCATCATCATCATCATCATCATCATCATCATCATCATCATCATCATCATCATCATCATCATCATCATCATCATCATCATCATCATCATCATCATCATCATCATCATCATCATCATCATCATCATCATCATCATCATCATCATCATCATCATCATCATCATCATCATCATCATCATCATCATCATCATCATCATCATCATCATCATCATCATCATCATCATCATCATCATCATCATCATCATCATCATCATCATCATCATCATCATCATCATCATATTTTTCATCATATTTTTCATCATCAGCATCATCATCAGCATCAGCATTGTCATCATCCTCATCATCATCATCATCATAATCATAATCATAATCATCAGCAGAAGCATCAGCATCAGCATCAGCATCAGCATCAGCATCATCGGCATCATCATCGTCAGCATCAGCATCAGCATCAGCATCATCAGCATCAGCATCACCACCAGCATCATCATTAGCGACATCATCATCATCATAATCATCATCATCATCATCATCATCATCATCCGTAGCATCATCAGCATCATCATCATCAGCATAATCATCATCATCAGCATCGTCAACAGCATAAATGTCGCCATCATCATCAGCATCATCATCGTCATCATCATCAGCAGCATCAGCATCATCAACATCGTCGCCATCAGTGTCCTCATCATCAACATCATCATCATCAGCATCATCATCAGCATCATCATCATCGTCAGCATCATCATTATAATCAGCATCAGCATCAGCATCAGCATCAGCATCACCATCATCAACTTCCACATCCTCATCATCCTCATCATCAGCAGCAGCAGCCATCATCTGCATCATCATCATCATCATCATTATCATCATCATCATCATCATCATCATCATCATCAGCAGCATCAGCATCAGCAGCATCATCACCATCACCATCATCACCTCCACCACCACCACGACCGCAGCATGGCCAATCTTTCGCGCAACGTCTGGTCACACATGCGCATTCAAAAGGCAGCAGGGGCGGAGATGGTTCGCCGTAGGCGCCTTCGATTATACTACAAGCTCCTACCTAGGATGCAAGCCTTTCGCCGATGGTTATCCTCTTCCTCCTCCTCCTCCTGCACACGACCGCCAATCCCACCCGAAGATCCCCCTTGACGAAACGCCCCGGCTCTAACTACCAGTGCTCCTCAGAAGCCCGAGACTGGCAGGACGAAGGCGTGATCCTCCGAGGCACGAGCCCCATACGGCGCCGAGCGCAGGATGGTCCTTGCGTCTCGGCGAGACATGCCGCCCTTCCTCTCCGAGGCGTAGAGCATGCTCGAGACGCTGCCGTGCATCGTGGAGAACCTCGCGGCGGCCACCGCCCGCGGCGTGGGCTCCGCGCCCGACAGCGCAGCAGCAACGTCGCCCAGCGACACGGAGATGAGCCCAGCAGTGCCGGCCGGCTTGCTGCCCCTGGCAGGCCGCAGCATGGGAGCCGAGGCGCCCATGACGAGAGCCTGGAGGAACACACGACGGCACGAGCACAGGCCTCCGGAGGTCCGCGCGGACTTCGCGAATCGGCGCTGGGGCCCCTCCCTGGCGCGCAAGGGGCCCAGCGCCGATCCTTTGGTGGCGAGGATTCCCGTGGGGTGTCGTGTCTCAAGACATGGCGTGTGAGGTCGACGGCAGCGTCTCAGGCAAGCCACTTTGGGACTTGGCCCACCCGCTTGCCCGGTGCAGGAATAGCAGAACCTGTCGCGATGAGGCAACGCCGATTCCAAACAAAAAACGCGGACCTCCAAAAGTTTACATGTATGCAGTTGTTTCTGCTTCGAAAGCCTGCGTGAACGCGTGCGCGTCCCTCGTGCCCACCCCGGCCTTGATGAGCGACGCCTGCAGCACGGCCACGGGCACGGCGCCGTCGCTGCTGACCGCCTCGACGTGGCCCCAGGCCGCGCGGAGCGAGCCGTAGCTGCTCTGCAGGCTGCTCCGAACCCGGCCCAGCACGCTCGAGGCGGAGTCTTCACTGGCCCTGCCAGGAGGACGCCGACTATCCACCGGCACCGATGCTGGCCAGGCTCATGCTGGGCGCCAGGGCAGGTGTATGCGCCCTCCTGGCCTGCCTAGCCAGGAAGGCATACACACCCCGATCCTGGGCCCAGCATCGGCCTGGCCAGGACCGGTGCCGGGTGCGTGAAGACGGCGCCCTCCGACCTGCAGATCCCGTCTGGGCGCGGCGACGCCGGCGCCTCCGCGGGGCCCTGCAGCGCCGAGAGCAGCTGTGGCAGCCGCTCGTTGCTGGCGTCGGTGCGGTGCCTGCACTCCTGGCTGCCGCAGCCCGTGCCCGTCGCGCTCCGCTTCGGCCTCCGCAGCAGCGCGTCCAGCTCCGCGCTCGGCGGGGCCAGCTGCCGCACGCCGGGCTCCAGGCGCACGCTCCGCCGCGGCTGGCGCGGGCTCTCCTCCTGAGGATGAGAGGGAGGCGTCGGCACAGGCGTAAGCTTCCGGGGAGGTCCGCGCGGAATTCCCGGGTCGCGCCGGGGAGGGGGCTCCAGCGCCGAGCGAAGAGAACCGCGCGGGCTTACGTCTGCCGGGGCGGGGAGATATGATCAATGACACGCTACCGCCGGTAGCCCGTCAGCATGTTACTCTTTCGTTGTTTTCCCACATAGGCTTGCCTCTCGGGGTTCTAGCTCGATCCATCGAGAACTGGTCTACTGTTCCCCCCTTCTGCTCGGCCCTCACATCCGTCAAACTATCCGCACGGATTCCTCCCATCCACACGGCTTCCTCCTTTCCGCATGACTTCCTCCAACGCGCATGGCAATTCCAATGGCGTCACAACAACCGGCCGGCAAACGTCAAAGTCATAAATAGGAAAAGGCAGAATAGAGTATAGCAGAGTAGAGTAGAACAGAGTAGAATAAAGTAGAGCAGAACAAATAAAAACAGAGTAGAGTGGAGCAGACTAGACTGTACTAGACTAGACCAGGCTAAACTAGCCTAGACCGGACAAGACTAGACTAGGCTAGACTAGACTAAGATAAGACTAGACTAGACTAGACTAGACTAGACTAGACTAGACTGGACTGGACTGGACTGGACTGGACTGGACTGGACTGGACTGGACTGGACTGGACTGGACTGGACTGGACTAGACTAGACTAGACTAGACTAGACTAGACTAGACTAGACTAGACTAGACTAGACTAGACTAGACTAGACTAGACTAGTCCAGACTAGACTAGACTAGACTAGACTAGACTAGACTAGACTAGACTGGACTGGACTGGACTGGACTGGACTAGACTAGACTAGACTAGACTAGACGAGACGAGACGAGACGAGACGAGACCAGACCAGACCAGACCAGACCAGACCAGACCAGACCAGACCAGACCAGACTAGACTAGACTAGACTAGACTAGACTAGACTAGACTAGACTAGACTAGACTAGACTAGACTAGACTAGACTAGACTAGACTAGACTAGACGAGACGAGACGAGACTAGACTAAGACTACACTACACCACACCAGACTAGACTACACGAAATAGACTAGACTTGGTAGGGTAAAGCAGAGTAGCGAAAATAAAGAACAGCTCAGAAGAGTAGAGCACAGAAGGTAGAGTAGAACAGAGCACCGCAGATGGAGTCGAGCAGAAAATCCGCCGATCCGGCGTGTGAGTTTCAAGGAGTCTCAGCTACAGCCTCGAGGCTGAGCCTCAGCCTCTGGGGGGGTTGCCGGGGTGGCTCTGCCGGGGAAGGGGGGGTGGGGGGGGGGGGGTGCGAGTTTCCGGCGGATGCGTTTTTTGACACCCCTCACAAGGATCGTGGCCTCCGAGGGGGTTCCGAACTCGAGTACCACCCCTCCCGCACCAAGAGGCTCCGAGGAGGCCTCCAAGAGGCCCCAAGGGGCGCAGAAGAGGCCCCCAAGAAGCCCCAAGAGGCTCCCAAGAGACCCCCAAGAGGCCCTCTAGTGGCCCCAAGAGGCCCAAGAGGCCCCCAAGAAGCCCCAAGAGGCGCCCAAGAGGCCCCCAGAAGTCCCAGCCAACCACGAGATCCCAACCAGCATCCATGAGGCCTCTGACCCACCACCCACGCACGGTGGCGGGATAGGCCGACGGCCACTGGATAAATGCTGAGTGAGAGGAGGGGAGGGAAAAAGAGAGGAGGGACGAGGGCGAAGAAGGATCACATCAGTCGGAGCGCCCCGGATCGGCGGCACTGGCCGAAGGCCACTACAATAATGAAGCAGAGCCGAGCCGAGCCGAGAAGAACGGAGTAGACAAAACTCAAGTAGGGAGTCGAATATGATAGATTGAGAAGAACAAGATGAGGTCCGGTGGGGTAGAATAGAGTAAAGTAGAGTAGAGCACTGTAGAATAGAAGAGGGTAGATACTAAAGTAGAGTCGGGTAGAATATAGAGTACATATAGAATAGTATATTGAGGGTAGCGTAGGATAGACTAGCTAAGAGTAGACTGAAGTATGATAAGAGTAGGTTTGGGAATGCAGAATGGGGTAGAGCAGAGCAGCGTAGAGTCGGGCAGATGGTAGACTAGAATGGAGACGGCCATAATCAAATATAGCAGAATAGACTAGAAGAGAATGGCAGAGAGTATATTAGAGTAGGTAAGAGCAGCGAATGGACAAGGAGGGGGCCGGAACAGGGCAGAGTAGAGCAAAGTAGAACAGAGCAGAGCAGGGCAGGGTAGATGGTGGAGTTGAACTGAATGAACTAAGAGTAGAGTTTCAGAGGGTAGAATAGGGCTGAGCACCCACAGGTTGCCGCCAGGAACATCTACTAGGGAGGGCCAATGCTTGCCAGCGGCCAAATCGCCGACGGGCCTTCCACGACCCAGCCCCAGGTCCGAGGCGGGCGCGCGCAAGCCGAGCGCTAGGAGAACACGAATGCGTGCTCACGATTGGAGGCCCTCAGCGCCGCTGGAGCCGCCCTCCTGGGGAATGCCGCCAGGGTCGCCCTTGGAGCGGGAGACCCGGCGACGCCTCTTCTTCGCCCACGCGTGGAACCCTTCAATTCCTTCTGGCAAGATGCCGCGCCTGCTGAGCGCGACCGCGGGATGCAGCCATTGCCTCGAGGGCGTCGACGTCGGGCTCGCGGCCAAGGCCGGCGCAAACGCGGCCGCTGCACCTGCGGGCCCCGCAGCGGCTGGGGAGGCCGCCCAGGCCGGCGCCGCCCAGGCCGCTTCGAAACCGAGGGCCCAGCAACGCAGGATCGACGGGCGCCTGCGTTGCCTCCCGGCTCATGTCGTCGACGCAGCGGAAGGCGTCTTGCCGGCCCTGGCCCGGCGTCTCGCCCGGCCCCCGCGTCCTCTCGGCGGCCGCGCCAACTTCTTCGGGCCGCGCGCCCGCGTCGAACGCGCCATCTCCGGGCTCGATAGCGGCGCCGCCGCTGCCCCCGCACGCTCGAGGAGGCCGGGCCTGGCTAGCCGGCTGCGCCCGCAGCTGCAGCACCTCTGGCAGACGAGCACCGAGTCGGGCAGGGGCGCCAGATGCCCTGGGCCTGCGACGATGCGCCGCTGGATCAAGATGCGGTTCTTGAAACCCTGGGGGGAGACGCCGTCCGCATCGTTGCCCCACTGGCCGCGGGCAACTGAGCGGCCCCCTCCCCTTCCTGGGTTTCCAGCTTCGCCGGAGGCCGCCGCTGCCGCCGCGACCGCAGCTGTCGCCGCTGCTCGCCTCGCCCTGGCGGCCGAGCCTGCATCCTTCTTCGCTGCCCTCGAAGCTGTGCTCCGCGAGATCGGGCACCTCCAGGGTGATGTCCGCCGCGCGGCCCCCGATCTCGCGCGCCCCCACGCGCGCGCGCGGCTTACCCGCGCAAAGCATCACCACCTCGGCAATCTCGTCGAGATCGCAGGCGAAGTCAAGATGGCGGTCTGGGAGGGAGCGCCAGGCGGGCGCCCTTCCTAGCGCAGCGGTCGCCGCGCTGGCCGCCCCCCATCTGCAAGCGGGGCGCGCTGCCCGCGTCGACGTCGCCCTCCGAAGCGTGGCCCGGCACCCCGCTGACCGCGCGCCCCCTGTCCTCCCCGAACGCCGCGCAGCATGGATGGCCCCCCGCAGGTGCGCACTGCTGGAGGAAGGCTGGCAGGCCCACGCCGTTCCCCGGGAGCCGCAGCCCACCGCCCCCAGGCAGTCGGTCTGGAAACCGACTGGGCCCTTGCAGAAAAAGGACGCCACGCGGCAAGTGGAACCCCCCCCGTCGCGCGCCCCCTGCCTGGGCGCCACGGGCAGCGGGGCCCAGCCGCACGCCGCCGCCCCAACGTGTCCGAAGCGATCGCGCTGCACCAGGGGGCAGCCAGCCCGCTGCAGCTCGGGCCACACGGTTCCAGCTGCGCTGCCGTCTGTGGAGATCAGCCCGCTCAAAGTTCACCGATCGGCACGCGGCGCCCAAAAAGACACGCCCGCCGCCAGGGTCGCCCCCGGGAGTGGCGCGGCCGATCCGGAGGGAAGAGGCGCCACGAGAACAGCTCGCCGTGCAACACCCTTGCTGCTTGGGCGGCGTCGACGCGCATCTGCAGCCTGTCCGACATCTCGGTTCGCCAGATCACCGCGCGGGCGTCGCACCGGCCGCACCTGCGCGAGTAGGTCCCTGACGCCACCTCGCAGAGGGCGCGGCCCCAGCAGGCCGCCCCCCCATCTTCTCGAGCTCGGTCGGGCACGGCGCGGAGCCCGCGATGACCGAGAGAGGGGTTAACTTCGGTGCTGTCCCCAGCCCCGCTGGGTCCGCAGCTTCTCGGGCTTCCTGAGCGGCCCCCAGCTGAGGAGCCCCTTACGAGTAGGGCACTGGGCCCGCTTGGCCAACTCGATCGCCAGCTCCTGGGAAGGCGCTGGGAATGCCCTCAAGAGGGCGAACTGCTGCTCGATGTCGGCGGCGATGCGCCTGCTGTCCTGCAGCTCGCACCAAAGTCTGTCAAGGGTGAGCACCGCTGCAGCGACTGGGCCCCTGCGCTGCACCCATGGCTGCCAGGCCCGCCGCAGTCGGCCCTCTGCCTTGGCGGCGAAGGCGTCCACGATGAACTTCACAGGGCAGCCGTGCGAGAAGCACGCCGAACACTCCTTGATCACTAGCCCCGCGTTGACGGCCACTGGGTCTTTCGCGAGACTCTCGGGGAATCATCGCAGTCGGACCCCAAGCGACGCCCCAGCCGCCAGCTTGCCCTCGCCCCTGGCCGCAGAGACCCGGAGGCCGCGAAGCTGCGGCTGCGGCCCCTGCTGCTCTAAGGCAATGGAGCCGCGTTGCTCGGGCCCTGCTCTCGTAGACCTTCGCCGCTGGGGCGCAAGCTGCCCTCCACGGCCCGTCGCGGGTGTCGCGGCCGAAGCTTCTGCCGCTGATGGCCCCGCCGTCGCTGTCGCCTGGCCAGCACTCCTAGAGGGCCCTGGCCACCGCGGCGTCGCCCGTGAGGTTGCAGAGCTTGCCCATGTCAGCCTGGGCCCTCTTCT